TTTTCCCTTCCCACAAAAGCAGGGAATAAATTCTACTAATCCAGAAACATAAGAGGGGCGATTCGTAATGGATTATCTGTCCGGCGTTCTCTCTCTCCCCCGCCCCCATGGCTGTAGAAAGACTGGTTTTAGTTTGTCTGTGGAAGGGAGAGGGGGAAGGGAACTCTGCATATGCTCAATGACACTTTTCTTCTTCCAGAGCTGATGTATAAAGAACTTTGTTTAAATCTGAGAACAGAAGCAAGCGGTTTTTCCATTGGCCCTTGCGTTGTGACAGGAAGGTGTATTGGGCTGTGGTTCATTTCACAGATTGTAGGGATTTCCCCCACCCCATAATCAGTCTAAACATGAATCCTGCCCACTTTGGCTATCTATAAAAGGTTCAAATACTGTACAGCAAAGAGAGAAGGTCAAGATGCTTCTCTGTTCTTGAACTCCTTTTCTTCTTTTCCTTAATCTAGGGTGTATCTGGGAAGCTTGGGCCCCGAGGAGAGCGTGGACCCTCGGTGAGTAACATAAAAGGAAGGGGGGAAGAGGGGAATTGTGAGAGTTTTCATCCACCACCTCTCAGGGCGGAAAAAACAAACAAAGCCCCAAGATGCAAAGCTTCATAATTGGAAGCAGAACTGCCTTAAACAGTGAAAGGAGTCTGATTAACCTCCCATTGGAAACGGTCTTGCTTTGTTGGTCAGTTGGGAGGAGTAGGGGGAAAAAACACCAAGCTGTGTTTGTATGATGACTGCGTGAAAGAGGCAGTTGTCTATGCGGCAGGAATAGAGAAGATTTTCTCACCCCCTAACTGTGAAGCTGCCTGTCTTCTCTCTTTGTCCTCCAAAGCTCTCACCTCACCTCAGAGTGGAATTCGGTTTCCATTTTTAGTGCATGGGCCTGGAACATGCTTTCCGATTCCCCCCCCCCGCCCGTAGCCCCCCCGGAGGATTTTTTGCAATAGATTTCCATGAGATTTCCATTCTGCAGTCTGGACCCCCGAATCCATTCCAATGGATAAAGAAAACCCTTCTATAGAAACATGGGCCTCTAACAACTTTCCCGGGAAAACCCACCTTGCCATGTCCGTTTAGACTCTTTTAAGTTTCAGACTTTTAAGTTCTTCCCGTTGGTACAAACCTGATGAAGTGGTGTTTTATCCACGAAAGCTTGTGTATTGTATGGTGATTTTTCAGTGGTCTATAAAGGTATCGCCTACTTTTGTATTTGTATTTTATATTTTGTTTGGACCACGCAAGCGACCATTTACTGCAATGAGGCAGAAGTGTACCCCCTGATTTTTGGGGGGTGAGAGAGAGACTCCCTCTTTTTTTTGCACATTTACCTCTTGTTTCCCCACTGAGACCCTCGGGAGGGGGCGTTGTAATCCTCCATTCACAAACACGCATTTGGGTTTCCGGAAACAAGCAGGGCAACCCATTTTCTCCCTGAAGCAACATCATTCCTTCCCTCTCTGTATGTGTTACACCTACGTAGAGCATTTTGCTCTGTTCGCAATGCACAGAAGCCTGGAATAATCAGGCTGATCTCCAGCTAGAAGCCTATAAAATCATGGCAGTGACAGGCTTTAAAAAAGAAAAGACAAAAAAGCCTACATACTCGGTCTGGCAAAGAGGGGTTTCGGTGGACGATCAAGAGATACGAAGAAAGGCCCGAAGCGGCTTCTGTGGGACTGTGTCGAACTGACCCACTCCCAGTTTTGTCACCTCTGAGGCTTGTGGGTGCATGCGTGGCCTGTGTTGTTCATGTGTTGCATGTGGGGCTGGTGGCAAAAAATGGGGTGGCGCTGTGGGCTAAACCGCAGACGTCACCTATGCTTGTGGGTGCATGCGTGTCCTGTGTTGTTCATGTGTTGCATGTGGGACTGGGGGCAAAAACAGGGTGGTCCCTGCATGAAATCCCAAGCATTTTATCAACCACCGGTGAGCGTTGTCTTTTTTCCTCGAGAGGCCGAGAAGCTCGCTTGTCGGGAAAGAAAAGGGGAGATATTTGGGACGCTGAAGCCCGACGCTTGTGTTTTCCCACGCTTGTGTTCCCCTCGCGTGGCCCGCTACATGAAGTCCCAAGCATTTTATCAACCACCGACGAGCGTTGTCTTTTTTCCTCGAGAGGCCGAGAAGCTCGCTTGTCAGGAAAGAAAAGGGGAGATCCTTTGGACGCTGAAGCCCGACGCTTGTGTTTTCCCACGCTTGTGTTCCCCTCGCGTGGCCCGGCCTCCCTGGTGGGACTTTGAGGGTTTGGCCCTCAAAGAATCTCTGAGGGGGGATTGCCAGAGATGGGCTTCAGGAGCTGGAGAGGAAAGAGGCCTCCAGAAGTGGCCTCCGTCTCTGAACCTCTGATTCACCTACTTCTTAAATCCATCCCCTTTTCTCCCCTTTCTAGGGTCCCAGAGGCCAGCGTGGGCCACGAGGAGCCACCGGCAAGCTTGGACCAAAGGTTGGTTGTGGGGTGCCCCCTCCCCACTGTTCTCTCTCAAGGGGTCAGCAGGCTGGCTAGGGCCCCGTCTCCTGCACCGGTCAAAGGGTCACACACGCCCTTCTTTTGCAGCCGAAACAGCTAGACCCAGGGCAGAATGCTCATCGGCACGAGAAAAGCTCGCTTCCGACATTCTTAACCCCGAAGGCTGCGCAGCTTGCGTGTGTGTCTGAGTCTGCGCTCATCGGCATGAGAAAAGCTCGCTTCTGACATTCGTAACCCCGAAAGATGCGCAGCTTGCGTGTGTGTCTGAGTCTGCGCCAGCGTGTTTGGGTGTGGGTGTCCAGATGTATGGGTGTCCAGGCAGCCTTGTGTGCACACGAGTCTCGTTGCCCTGGAAGGTGTTCTCTCTTTACGCAGAAACATAAATAAATAAGAAATAACTCGGTTTCCTCTTTCTGTACACCTTTTCCCGCTCAGGGCACCTCTGGCAGCGAAGGACCTTCCGGCCCCCCTGGCGAACGGGTGAGTGGAAAGAGCCGGGCCCACATCGCCAAGCGCCGGGCCGGCCGCGATTTCTTTTAAACAAAGGCCCCCCCCCCCGGGGAGGTTCGATACGCATCGCTCGCCTGCCTGAAGTCTTAACGTGAGGAAGCGAGGAAGGAAAAGGGGGAAGGATGGAGCAGAAGGAAGGGAAGATGATGGAAGGCAGTGGCAAGGCTTTGTAATAGAACAGGGATCTCAGACAGCGGCTGGACATGGCAGGAGAGGGGTTCAAGCCTTGCATGAACGGAGAGCCTCCTCCCTCTGCTTCCTCTCATCCTCTAGCCCGGCCTTGGCAGTTCCCATCTGGTGCCCACGGGAACGCCTTTTTGCCCCGGCCGTTCCCAGGTTCTGCGGGGTCTAATCTGGGAAACCACGGAGGAAGCAGAAGGAAGATGATGGAAAGCAGTGGCAAGGCTTTGTAATAGAAGAGGGATCTCAGACAGCGGCTAGAGATGGCAGGAGAGGGGTTCAAGCCATGCATGAACGGAGAGCCCCCTCCCTCTGCTTCCTCTCATCCTCCAGCGCGGCCTTGGTAGTTCCTGTCCGGTGCCCACAGGAACGCCTTTTTGCCCCGGCCGTTCCCAGGTTCTGCGGGGTCTAATCTGGGAAACCACGGAGGGGGCTTCTGGCCCCCGTGGAGCCACCATCACCCTTCATCCCCCCCCACCACTTTTTAAAGGGGGAGAATCAGCCTTTAGAGGGGCAGGATACTACTCTCAAATCCCAGCATGCCCCTTCCAATTTTTGGAGTCTCCGTTTTTGAAATTCAATTTTTGGAATCTCATTTTTTGAAATTCAAAAATGCCGGCTTCAGGAGGCTGTTTATGTCAAGGGTGCTTTTATGGGTCATTTCTGCCGCTAACATTTCCTCATCGCTCTTCTCTCTCTCTCTCTCCCTCCACCCCTTGCAGCTCCAGCCTCAGCAGGGAGACTGACAGCCTCGGCAGGGAGACTGAGGCGCCGCCACCGCCACCCTGGCTGAGAAAGACCCTCTGCGCCTGCAGCAACCTTAAGCTGGCCGAAAATGCGGGCTTTGCAATGAGTGCTTTCCTGCGATCATCGCAAAGCGAATTTTCCCCATAGGGGCCATCGCAAAGCGACCGCTTTTGCGATTGCAAAAACAGTGTCGCAAAGCGATTTCTTCGCTATGCGGAGCAATCGCTATGCGAGGCACCACTGTATATCTAAAGATCGCAAGGGCCCAACGGTTTCCCCGGACCAAAAGGACCCCCGGTGAGTCGCCCCATTTCTCTTCCCGTCCCCACCCCACACTTTGAGGTCCCCTCTTTCAGGCCAAAGCCCAAAACCCCCAAAGCAAAATGTGCTGCTGACCTACCGCCCCGTAGTGCTTAAAGCACTCTCTGGGAAGTTTATAATTTAATTACGCCACCTTGAGCCAAGTACCTCAGCCTTGTTGGGGATCGAACTCAGGTTGCGAGCAGAGAGTCTTGACTGCAGCACTGCAGCACCTTGAGCCGAGTACCTCGGCCTTGTTGGGGATCGAACTCAGGTTGTGAGCAGAGAGTCTTGACTGCAGCACTGCAGTTTCGTCCACCGACCACCACCACCCCGCTCTGACCCTCTTTTCCTTTTGTTCCACCTACAGGGTCCCTCTGGGAAAGACGGGGTGCCCGGCCACCCTGGGCAGCGAGGAGAAGTCGTAAGTTCTTCCTTCTGGGGGCCGTTGCTTCGCCTTTCTCCAAAAAACGGCCGCTCTGCTGCTAGTCCTGAGAGCTTTCGGCTCCTTCTTGGCTCCTTCGCACCCGCTTCTCTCTCCTGCTTCTTTCCACTCAGACGCCCTGCTTTCTCCTCCTCCTCCTCAGGTGCCGCCAGGTAAACGCGGGGTCCCGGGATACGGTCGGTTGCAGCCTTCGGAGCTCCCTCCTTCCCTCCTCCTTCCCCCCTTTGCCTTGGGGTCTCACTTTTTGCTTACGCACTTTTCCGTGCTAACCCTGCTCACCTTTGCACATTGGGTTTGCTCCTGTGTAGTACGATGCCACCGTGTTTCTCCCAAACTCGGCCCCGGGTGATAACACAGGGCGAAGCATGGTTAAGCTCATCCTTTCCACTGGGGCGGGAAAGCAATGAACGAATGAACGAACGAACGAACGAGTTGGGTTTGCTCCTGTGTAGCACGATGCCACCGTGTTTCTCCCAAACTCAGCCCCAGGTGATAACACAGGGTGAATGAATGAATGAATGAATGAATGAATGAATGAATGAATGAATGAATGAAATGAATGAAATGAAATGAAATGAAATGAAATGAAGTGAATAAATTCTCCTCGAACCCATCCGGTGTCCAGATTCTCCCACCCCAAGATGTGAAGGGATGGTACAGTGGTGCCTCACTTGACTATGTTAATTCGTTCCAGCAAAATCGCTGTAGAGCGAAAATGTCATCAAGCGAAAATAAAAAAACCCATTGAAATGCATTGAAAACTGTTCAATGCATTCCAATGGGTTGAATACCTGCTCGTCCAGCAAAGATCCTCCATACGGCAGCCATATTCGGGTACCTGTTAAGCAAAAAATGCCTCCTAAAAACAGCGGTGAGTCATTTTGAGCAGCCAGTGCCCATTTGAAAACCCAACGATCAGCTGTGTTGATCGTCGTAATGCGAAGAATCGGTTCCCGAAGCAGAGAACCGATCGTCGCAAAGCGAACTCCCCCATTAAAACATTGTTTTGCGATTGCAATTGTGATCGCAAAGCAAAAACATCGGCATGAAGCGGATTCGTCGTTATACGGGGTAATCGTTAAGTGGGGCACGACTGTACCAGAATGATGCCACCAACAGACTGAAGCCCTAGGTGCAGCTTATACTTCTCCAGGATGGTGCCACCAATACACTGAAGCCCTAGGTGCAGCTTATACTTCTGGGTGTTTTGGGGGGCAGGGGGAAGCTTTCCTCCTTCCACCCCTTCCCCACACAGAGGAAGTCCAGGAGATCAAAAAAAAGCTCTTATCTCAGAACTCCACGTTACAGTTAGCTGTCGCTGGAAGCCCACGTCCCTTAGTGTTTCAGAAACGTGGTTCCTGCAGACTTTGGGGTCTCAGCCATGGTCTGCTTGCAAGCCAAGCCCTTGGCTTACCCCTCTGTGACCAGTAATGAATCCCAGCCCGCTCATTTACGAATGGTGTGAAATCTTCCCGCTGTGACAGTCAAGCATCCTCAGCACTCCACCTACTAATGATGTGTCGTCTGTAATGTACCATTTGGCCCTCAGCTGGCAGCACCAGAGGAGGGGTGCTCTTCATCTCCCTCCTTCCATCTTGCTCCCCCTCCCAAGAGAAGGAGTCTAGAGGGTATCCTGCTCACATGCAGCACCTCCCCCAAAGTTTTGGGACATAGTTAATTAGTTAGTTATGTGCCTGTCAAGTCAGAAAGGGCTTATAGCGACCCCAACAGGACTTTCCAGGTAAGTGAGATCTTGAAGGAGTGGTTTTACCAGATTCCCAGTGAGTTTCCATGGCTGCGTGAGGATTCGAACTCAGGCCTCCCGAGTCCTAATCTGTCACTCTGATCCACTTAGACCACCCTGGATATCATGAGGTAGATATTGTGGAAATAAAGTGGTCCCAAACTCAGCTTTCCAGCCCCCCTAGGGGTTGGGGGCAGGGGAATGGGGCTGTCACCCACACGCACACACCCCTCTCTTTCTCCCCACAGGGATTCCAAGGCAAGCCTGGCCCCCCCGGTGGCCCTGGAGTGGTGGGTCCTCAGGTAAGGAGGCGGTGAGCGGGGGTTGGTCGAGCCAAGCACGAAAAGTTACCTTTTGGAATGAATGTCTTCCTCTGATAGGCGACCATGTTTGAAATGTAATTTTGTCGCCAGAATTCATGGCTATACCAAGAATGTAATTGGTCCCATTTCTACAGTTCTAGTTAATGGTTTCATTACTTTATGAAGACCGAGAAGAGAATGGCATAAAAACCTGCTTGAAAAATCTTTTTTACAAAAAGCCTTCAAGAATGCCCTCAAAGGTTCTTTGGCCGTTCGTTTTAACAAGAAACGGTTACCCGTTACACTTTTAAAGTAACTTGAGTTCCACCTCTTGAAGCATGACTTCGTTTTCGTCTTTGTTTCCAGTAAAAAATAACTAGATCCCTGTAACTTGTTTTGTCCGGTGAGGCTTCCTCACTTCCGGGCAGGTGAGCAGGATCAGTCCCTTTATTATCATCCTAGGTAACTCCAGTGTTTCTCATTGCTTTTCAAATGGAGAGCTTGGCTAGATGACCAGATTAGAACGGGGAGGATTGGGGGCTAGATAGAGTGGCTGAGGAGGTGCGGGGTGCGATCCTCGGGTGGTTTTGGGTCGGAAAAGCAAACTGCAACTCAAGCAACCCTATTTAGCCCACCTCCCTTTAAAGAGAAAGAAAGAAAGAAAAAGTAATTACCCTGTTTCCCCGAAAATAAGACCTAACCTGAAAATAAGCTCTAGTATGATTTTTTTCAGGATGCTTGTCATATAAGCCCTACCCCCCAAAATAAGCCCCAGTTAAGTGCAACCCTGCCCTCCACCCTTGTGCAGCAACCAGAAGATGACATAACTGTAAAATAAAACATCCCCTGAAAATAAGCCCTAATGATTTTGGAGCAGAAATTTATACAAGACACTGCCTTATTTTCGGGGAAACACGGTAAGCAAGCATAGCAAAGCAAAAATGAAGCAAAGCGATAAGTAAGCATAGCAAAGCAAAAATGAAGCAAAGCAAAGTAAGTGACCCTTCCTTGCTCCCTCGTGTCTCCTCCTTTTTCCAAAAGGAAGCTTTTCGGGATTCCCCCCCCCTAAAAGCTATAGTGTATCAGCGTTGACCTAACGGGATCTGGAAAAAAATCACCCAACAATCTTAGCTTCCTTCCTCTCCACGGAGGAGCCGGGGACGTTTTCAGTTGTTTCTTAAGCCACTGAAATGATATTGGAAAATCGGAAGTTGCAAAGCATTCACTTTGGTTTGATCCCGGGGATGGTCCGTGCTGGGAGTGAACCAAAACAGAACAATCCAAACCTGTGCCTTGAGAAACGTAGCCCCTGACAGGGAGGCATGGGCAGGAACGCTCCGAGGACAGTTCCAGCGCGTGTTGGCACGGATGCGGTGTGGTGGCCACGAAAAGGAATGAACCCACCTGTCCCCCCCCCAAGTGGATCATCCCACCGGGACCGATCCCCATCTCGCTGCACCCTGAACTTCCTGCAGGATGTCTCTCCCAGGGCCCGTCCCCTTGTTCTGTGCTTGGAAGCCTCTTTTCCCCCTGAGAAAGGGTCTCCTCTTTTTGCTCGTGACAGGGAGCGCCGGGAGAAACAGGCCCCATGGGCGAACGAGGGCATCCTGGCCCGCCAGGCCCACCCGGAGAGCAAGGCCTGACAGGGCCATCTGGAAAAGAAGGGACAAAGGTAACGGCGTGGCCCATCTCGAGCGGCCCAGGGCACCGGGTTCAGGCCAGAGGCCTTGATCCGTGGCTCTTTGGGGGTTCCGTGGCTGGGGGGGGTAGACATGCAATGCCATTGTGGCCGTCTTCGGGCCTGGGGAAGGACCTGCTCGGGGGTGACCCAAGAGGCATGCTTTGGGAACCAATTAAAAAGAAAACGATCAATGATTTGTTTCTAGCAAATCTGGGCACTGCTATGCTCCTCCTCCTCCTCCTCAAGCTCCACCCATGATTTGCCAGGCACCTCCCCCTGGCTTTCAGACTCCGCCTTCCACCGCTCTGGAGACTTGATCACATGAATGGAAAACTCTTTCTCCTCAAGGGAGCACAAAGGGACCCGAGCCCACTTTTTGTGGCTTTAAAAAAAACACATGCACACACACACAAATCCAATCCAACCATGTTTCCATGGCTTGAAGGTTGTGGCCTTTAAGAGGGAGGATTTCTGTGACATTTCACGCTTTCTCTGCAGCCTCTCCTTGAACCCACAAGCAAATTTAAACAAGTTTATGAGCAATCTGGGCTTTCTCGCCAGATAACTCATGTACAGATCAGAAACCCACTCACAAGCTCAAACATAGGCTGCAAGAAAAAACATGACATGTCATAGAAAATCCTGCCCCTATAGAAGTTTTCAATAGCGTTATAAATTATTTGAAGAAACCTGGGGTAGAAATGAAATAATGAACAAAGCCACATCTGGTATTCATAGTGCTGCTGAGTTTCAGCAGCAAACTGCAAAAATCTCTTTGGAACCAGAAGAAAATGGGGTTTGGTGGCAAAAAATACATACTTTTTGCCCCTAGAGGGAGCAAGAGATCTTTTCAGTTAATTTAAAAAAAAAATTAAGAAAAATATTTGAGGGTGGGAAAGACATGACACAAGAGTGGGTGCAGCCCTCCAAGATTCAGGAATGGGCACATATATGCCCCCCACTTTTCCGTTCCTCAGCTGTTTCTCCTGAGTCCCAGATTTAACATTCAGCTCCTAATGTGGAAAAAACATGACATATCATAGAAAATCCTGCCCCTATAGGAGTTTTCAATAGCGTTATAAAGTATTTGAAGAAACCTGGGGTAGAAATGAAATAATGAACAAAGCCACATCTGGTATTCATAGTGCTGCTGAGTTTCAGCAGCAAACTGCAAAAAATCTCTTTGGAACCAGCAGAAAATGGAGTTTGGTGGCAAAAAAATTACATACTTTTTGCCCCTAGAGGGAGCAAGAGATCTTTTCAGTTAATTTAAAAAAAAAATTAAGAAAAATATTTGAGGGTGGGAAAGACATGACACAAGAGTGGGTGCAGCCCTCCAAGATTCAGGAATGGGCACATATATGCCCCCCACTTTTCCGTTCCTCAGCTGTTTCTCCTGAGTCCCAGATTTAACATTCAGCTCCTAATGTGAGCCCTTTCTTCTGTATCTCTGACCATTTTTGTTTTTCTGCTCACCCTGACATTGACGGAGACTGGCTTTGCGCCCTTATCCCAGAAAAGATGAACCGAGAGGAAGCCCCAAGGCTGGTTTCGGCTTCACCGTCCCCCCCCCTCCACAAAGGAAGTCCCTTTGGGATATTCAGATAACGTTGCGAATTTTTGTGTGTGCGTTTCAGGGGGACCCCGGGCTTCCTGGAGTCCCAGGAAAGGACGGCCCGGCTGGACTGCGAGGCTTCCCCGGAGAACGTGGTCTTCCTGGCACCCCTGTAAGCACCTTCAACATTTGCGTTCCTCTGGGGGACGGTGGTTTCTTGTTTGGTGTGTGTGTATGTGTCTGTGTGTGTGTGCGCCCGTAAGCACCTTCGGCGTTTGCGTTCCTCTGGGGGAGGGTGGTTTCTCGTTTGGTGTGTGTGTATATCTGTGTGTGTGTGTGCGTGTGCATCATCCCCTTTTAAAAGTCCACCTCGTTTCTCTTTTGCATTCGCCGCCCACATTCAAGCCTGCTTCAAGTTCGTCCTTGTTTTCCCCCCACCAGAACAAGATGCTGGCTGTTTGCGTGATTTTTTTAACAAAAGTGTGTCCTGTTTTTCACCTTTTGGGGGGGGGGGTCA